GGCTGGGAGGCGCTCAGGCCTCGCTGCCGGTGCTGGGGGTGGAATCGGTGGTGGGGGGATTGTCGGGGGGGCCAGATTGTCAGGCTCGGGGGCTGGGAGGCACTCAGGCCTTGCCACCAGTGCCCGCAGGGGGGAATCAGCAGGCCGGGGTGGGGGAGAAGGCTTACCTGTGGAGCTGCGTCTGCAGACCGGGAGCCTTTAGGAATACTCCCCCCCCCCCGTGAGTATCGTGGGTCCCGCATCTTGTCGTCTACTAAGACTGGCAGCGGCTCTCCAGTGCCGCAGACTGTCTTTCACATCTCCTCCTGCCTGGGACCTTCTGCATGCCAAGCAGATGCTCGGCCAGGGAGCCACAGCCTCTCCCCTTAAGTCATGTCCTCTCAGCCCTAACCCACTTCCTGGGGTGGTTGTGAGGATTAAATGAAGGAGAGGAGAACGGTGTAAACAGCATTGGATCCCCATTGGGGAGGAAGGCGGGCACAATTGATTTAAATAAATAAATAAATAAATAAATACATGGGTATGGAAGAAGGGAGAGGGGTGATGTTGTGGGGGATGCACTGCAGATTGCAGGGAGGAGAGGGCATTCACATTCACATTCTCTCTCTCTCTCTCTCTTCCAGTACGGTGTGAGCTATCGGTGTCTTTTGCGGCAAAACCAAGTACTGCTCACTGCCCTGGAGGAGCTGCAGTCGCGCTGTTCCAGCCTGAAGAAGGAGAACAGCCTGCTGGTGAGCTGAAAGAAATAGGTGGCCAAACCTGCTTGATGTAACATAGAATAAACGCCAGATGTTGGAGAGCTACAAGACACGATCAGATATTACCCACACATTTTTATTGAAAAACATGCACATTTGCTTTTTATTAACATTAAATTAGACTGTGTGAAAGAGCCACATGCGGCTCCCGAGCCGCTTGGCCACCCCTGAAATAGACGCCAGAAGTTGAGTCCATTGAAGGCTCACCCGATCTCGGAAGCTAAGCAGGGTCGGCCTGGGTTAGTCCTTGGATGGGAGACCGCCCAGGACTTCCAGGTCACTGTGCAAGTGCAGGCAATAGCAAACTACCTCTGTTAGTCTCTTAGCCTTGAAAACCCTCTGGGGTTGCCATAAGTCGGCTGCAACCTGGAGAAGGCAGGACCACCTTTTGGGGGACATGATGTGTACAGAGTTGGGCGTGGAAAGAACTGAGTGCAGGGCCAAGAGGCAGATTATAACATGCTTTGTGCAGAAGGCCCTGGGTTCAGTCCCTGCCATTTCCAAATGAGGGATCTCAGACAGCAGGGAAAGACTTCCCTCTGCCTAGGACCCTACAGAGCTGTGGGCAGACAGAGGAGACAGGATGGGG